GGCCTATTTCCTCTTTTGTCTGCTTGTCCCGCTCCACAATCCCCCTGCAGGCCTTTTTTCTAGTTGGAAACAGTTCAGGGCCGGCTGTGGCCATTTGGTTTTAATTGGAAACTGTCTCTTTAAATTTTGAGGAGATCTGTGTGCATGCGTAGTAGAACCCTCCGAGGGTGGGGTGGGGTGCCCACTAGTTCAGGCACCCCTATAGTCACCAGAATGGAGGTGCGCAGATAGCAAGGGACCAATGAACATTTACCAAAAGAAAAGAATGTCCACACCTTTATCTCAGTGGTTCTGCCAGGCATCTGTGGCTGCTCCGATCCTTCCCCCACATGGTCTCACCCAAGATGGTGGCTCCTGGAGCAGCTGAGCGTCCCGGACTAGAAAGCAAAAGATTTCTTGCTTCTGCCACAGATTCCCCCAGCTGTGAGCCTTCCAACCTTCTAACTATTCCTTTATATGTGGTTCAGAGTTCTGGGACCATCCCCTGAGTCTGCTTGTTCTGGTATTCTGTGTTGTTGTTGGCGGAACTCTCTGCTACATGTCCACCCGATCCGCCATCTTGTTTGTTCTCAATATCTATTAATATAGGAACATGGCATGTATGAAATAGCAAAGTAGAAAATTTGAAAATGGTAAAAAAATGAAATAGAACTCATAAACATTGATATCTTAGGTATTAGTGAGCTTAAATGTACTGGTATTGCCCATTTTGAATCTGACAACCACATGGTTTACTATGCCAGCAATAACAAATTGAAGAGGAATGGTGTTGCATTCATTGTCAAAAAAAACATATCCAGATCAGTCAGGAGGTACAATGCTGTCTGTGATAGGATAATATCTATGTGCCTACAGGGAAGACCAGTTAATACCACCATTATTCAAATTTACACATCAGCAACTAAGGTCAGTGAAGATGAAATAGAAGAATTCTACCAACTTTTTCTATCTGAAACTGATCAAACATGCAATCAAGATGTGTTGATCATTACAGGTGATTGGAATGCAAAGGTTGGGAGCAAGAGGAAGGATCAATAATGGGAAAATATGGCCTTAGTGATAGAAATGATGCTGGAGATCGCATGATAGAATTCTGCAAAATCAATGATTTATTCATTTCAAATACCTCTTTAGACAGTATAAGAGATGATTATACACATGGACCTCACCAGATGGAATACATAGAAATCAAATTGACTACATCTGTGGAATGAGATGATGGAAAAGCTCCATATCATCAGCTAAAACAAGGCCAGGGGCAGACTGTAGAACAGACCATCACTTACTCATATGCAAATTCAAACTGAAGCTGAAGAAAATGAAAAACAAGTCCACGAGAGCCAAAATATGACCTTGAATATATTCCACCTGAATTTAGAGATCATCTGAATAAGAGATTTGATACATTAAACACTAAAGACTGAAGACCAAGAGTTTTGGGATGACATCAAGAACATCATACAGGAAGAAAGCAAAAAGTCATTGAGAAGACAAGAAAGAAGGAAAAGGTCAAAACGGATGTCAGAAGAGACACTGAAACTTGCTCTCCAGCGCAGAGAAGTTAAAGCAAATGGAAGAAAGGA